TGCTTTCTCCTGAATCTTCATTTGTGTCTATATTAACATGTGAGATTTTCAGGCACCTGCAAGTAACAATCTAACAATTGCATTTATACTAGATAATTTATAAATGTGAAAAAATTTAGTCACATAATTTTGTCAGGATATGAGTTTCTGATACCTGAATAAACCAAATCAAAACAAACAAAAGATCAAACAAAAATACACCTGTATATAGGGTGTGGTTTTTTAGCTTATAAAGAAGGAATCATATCTGTTTTCTGCATATTATTTGTCCTGACTCACAAATCAGTGTTCTGATGAGTATTCCTTAATTGAAAAAGATCACTGAAGTATGAGTGGAGAAGTTAAGAGTAAGAAGATAATCCATACCTTCTTCTTTTTCTTTGCTTGGAGGATTCTTTTATTGCACAGTAAATTTCAACATCTGATATATTTTCTTACCTTTTCAGTGAGAAATTTCTGAAGAAATTGTTATCACATTAAATCTGCTTTAAGTAATAACATTTGCCATCTATTTGACAGAAACTCTCCAAAGGTTTCTGATGCCCTTTCTTATAGTCACTTTCTAACAAAAACCCCAAAATCCTTAAAATTTTTACCTGCAGAGTAACAAAAAGGCAAAAAATATTGCTTAAATGGAAAACAGCTGATTTAGTGAAGCACTAAACATATTTTTCTTTGAGAGACATCCTATTTTCAGTATTCTTGAGGAGTGGAAGCTACTTTGTGCAAAACCAGCCTGAAATGCCACTCATACTCTCCTACCTCTCATGTGTTGTCTTTGTCCATAATTGGGTTACTAGACAGGTAGTTGAGTGCTAAGTTAATACTTGGGTACTACTTGGAAAAAAAGAAGTCTACTGTACAAACAACTTTTGAGGGTTCTGGGGGGAAAAAAAGATGCATGTAAGAGTGTAAGTAAATACTGCCATGGTTTAAACCCAGCTGGCAACTCAGCATCCACACAGCCACTCAAACTCCCCTGGTGGGATGGGGGAGAGATTTGGAAGACTAAAAGTGAGAAAACCTGTAGGTTGGGGCAAGGACAATTTAATTGTTAAAGCAAAAGGTGTGCACACAAGCCAAGCAAAACAAGGAATTAACTCACTGCTTCCCATGGGCAGCAGGCATTCTTTTATCTCTGGGAGAGCACAGGTCCATCACACCTAGTGGTTATCTGGGGAGACAAAGGCCATCACTGTGAGTGTAAGCTTTCTTCCTTTTTGTGCCTCCTTCTCTACCTTCTGCCTCCAGCTTCATACTCTGAGCATGATGCACTGTGCTGTGGAATATCCCTTGGATCAGTTGGGATCAGCTGTCCCAGCTGTGTCTCCTCTCAACTCCTTGTGCACCCCCAGTCCCCTCTCTGCTGGGGTGGGCTGAGAGGCTGAAAAGGCCTTGATGCTGCATGAGCACTGCTCAGCACTCACTGACACATCTCTAGATTATCAACGCCATTTTCAGCAGATGTACAAAACACAGCCCCACATGAGCTGCTGCAAAGAAATTTAACTCTGTTCCAGCAAAACCTGCTGCATCCAGCCCTAGCATACATTTAAAAGTGGTAGTGGAAGCCTAGAGGGGAAGTGCACAGTCCAGAAGAAACACTTTTAGTACCATCTGTACTATCTGCAGTAAGTGAAAAAATATTTAGTGTACATGTGTTGTCTAAACCTACTCATCCAGTTCTTCATGATTCACTGTCTTGTCTAATTTTTTAAACTGCACTACAGGGATTGTGTTAGGGAAGACCATGTATTTGGTACTTCTTGACAAAAATTACTTGCTAATCTGTAGTGGCAGTTATGTAATAGAAAGTAGTTTGATCTACATAGCATGGCTCTGAAGACATTCAGGTTTAAGTCAAAGACAGACTTTGACTTGAATTCTTTCTCTAAAAATTAATGAAAAAATTAAATTTTCCTTATCTCAAGAAAATTACTTGGAATTCCAGTGCAATCTTGTAATGAATTTCAATAAATATTGTCATATATAGGGTTTTTCTCAGTGCAATCCTGAAGCAACATCATGTACTATTTCAGCTCATCTTTGTCATCGAGCCTGTATTTTTTGTGTATTCTAATCTTTTATATTTTTTAAAAAATGCTTTCTCTCTCTTTCTAACACTAGAAAGAAGTAATTGAGGAAAGAAGGAAATTGTTAAAGAGTCAGTATTTTTATAATGAAGGAATAGTATTCTGTTTCACAGTATTTTTTTCTTCTGGAAGGCAGTGTGTCTCAAGACAGTTTTGCTTTCTTCCTGTATTCTACAAAGCAAATCCCAGAAGACATTTTGAGATGTCAGACCAAATGGCCCTGGTAAAAATGGAGTCATGGGAGAAATACCTATTATTTTCCATTCCTGTAGAGAAGCAGATGCTTCTCTGCAGTCTGCTGGGAATTTCTGAATCTTCTTTCAGAGACTCTTCGAGATGCTACATACAGTCCTTTAATTCAAATACAGGAGCTGTGTAGCATGGATGAAGAGCAGGCAAAAATCCAGTAGTACTTTTAAAATACCTGTCATTGTAAAGAAGCCCAAATAATATTTTTTTTCCTATGATAAAGAAACATTGCCTAAAAACAGTGCTTATATTGACAATGCAAGCACTAATACAGGTGCAAGAATGGTCCCTGTAAGCCAGTTTAACCCACTAATCTTCCTTCCACAAATAATTGCATAATCATTTTTCTGCATTCATTCATCATAAGAATAATTGCATCTTTTGGGCTAAGCTTGCAGTGGACCTAAGAGTTAAACTTATCTGCTGTCCCACAAAGCCCTGAGAGGAACTTTGTATGCTTACCACAACCTTGCTGTTGTGTGTTTTATCTGGTAGTATCTCTAGCTTGTTTTTGAGAAGTTAAGTTATTCTTAGCCAGAGTTTACCTCACTCTTTGTTTCTGTACCTGCAGCAGACTGTGTGTGTAAATATTACTAGGTAAATATCTTGTAGTACTCAGTGCTAGAAAAAAATCTGGGATAACTAATAACTTGGAAATGCGTTAATTTTTGGGGTGTGTAGAACCATATTTAGAAATTTGCTAAATAATTACGAGAAAATTAGTAAGTGTTACATGTGTGCTGCATGTGTGGAATCAAGAGGCACAGAGGAAACATAATAATAAAAGCTCTACCATTTTAATCCACTGGATAGTGTTGCTTTCTTCTTCCTTGCTACCAGGGAAGGACTGTTCAGAGATAACATCTGAAAGATAGCGTAGGTTGTCCCAGCAGTTGCAAACTTGCCTGGGATGTCAGCACATAAATAAGGCAGTGGTCATGCAGACAGCCAGGAGAGTGATGACCTGTTTTACACTCTCAGCATGTCACCCACTCATGATGTGACAGGAAACCACAGCGAGGGCTGGCGGGAAAGTGAGGTAGGGCATTTTGTTCCCACAGGGCTTCCCAGACCCAGTAACTTATTATTGGATCTGACAAGTAGGTTGGTGCATGGCCTTCTTACAAAGCCAATACTGTACCAAAAATAATGAGCTTGAAAATGTGTGCATCCAGCTGATGGCCCTGTTCTTGTTAAGTATGTCTGGAATTTTTGGCATAGTCCAGGATCTAGGGTGGGAGAAGACAGATACTTAGGGAATTCACTAGATGATATGGCAGCAGTTTTTCATAGTGGTTATTGTTTTCTTGATAGCTCATGGAACTAGCTCTATATATGCCTACCTACATGAAGTACACATCATTATTTATTAGTCATAGTGCAGAAGGTATGAATATGCACTCCTGGATGAAGTAGTCACCAGAACCCCTGCAGACCTGATTTAGACTAAACTTTTACACTGGTTGTTAGCTCACAAGCCAAAGTAGTGCTTAGGAAGGGGGCTAAATGCATCAAGGATAAAATAGATCAACATAAACCCAGCAAATATGTTATGTGCTCTTCTCAGCAGCAGTGATCCAAATCTGGCAGTGTGAGCAGTCAGCCCTGAGGGGCTGTTGTTTAGCAGGGGGGGCAGACTGGAGAGGGGTGCCTGTGAAGCTCCAGGGGAAAGTCTGAATGCATTTAAGAGAAAGTTTCTCTTCAGCAGACACAAAGTATTGTCCCATTTGCATAGGGCAAACACCTAAGAGCTCATGATTTCAGCTTAAAACATTAATTTAAGGGCAGAAAAAACTGCCATTCTTTGCCTGCTCTTATTCCATTGCCAGTGAAAGTTAACCTGACTGCTCATTGTCAGAAGACACAGCAAATAAACATCACATTTAAAATGAATCCAAGTTTCTTTAGTCCTCTATCTTCTGATCACCTAAACAGGCAGTTGATACAAGACCAATTACTCAGTTATAGCAGTATACATCTACTTTAAATCCTTTGTATAATTTGCATTCATATAACTGCAACCAACTTCTGGACTCTTAAAAAAATAACTAACTTGTGAATTCCTACTCATTCCATGTTTCCCAAGGGAAAAGAAGAGATAGTGGGGTAAGGTACAGGACTTCTCAGAGAAGGTGTATGTGGAAATCTTTAGTATCCCTGCAGATGGTGTGAGCTAAAGTTTCTTATTAACAATAATCTCTATAATATGAATTTAAATACAGAGTAGTTATGAGATTTAATGTTGCAACCACATAAATAAATAGGCAAAGTAAGTAGCTGTTTTCTGGTTTTTAAGGAAATAACAGAAATAAAATAATAAAGCAAGATGCATTATTTCATATGTTTGATTATATTGGACCACTGTGATTTGCCAGACTAACAATTCCTTCATTGCATGTTGAACCTGTCTTTTGTTAAACATCAGCTATTGCCTCCTACTTCCCACCATGCTGTTTTTATTAATCCTGTCTTAGATCTGCTTCTTTTGTTGTTTCTTTTCTGTGCCTTCATTCTCAAAATGTATTGCATTTAGCTGCTGACACAATTACTCATCTTCTAAAGTCCACAGTATTCCCCAAGTCTGTTTTTTTTCCCCCTCATCTTCAGTGTTACTCTGATTTAACTGTTCCATTTTGTTTTGACTTTTGATTATCCCAGGGTCCGATTGGTATGGATGGAAAGCTGGTAGGTGATTTGTTCAAAACCAGTGTAATTTAGGTCTCTCACATATTCCCCTCTTTGCTTTTTATAATTTCTTATGCTGAAATGTATATTAGTCAAAAACTGGCTTCCTTCAGCATAACTTAGCATAGCAGTAGCAATCCAGTAGCATGGATTTTTAACAGGCTGCTGAAAAGCCACTTCAGTCTTTTATGCCTATGCAAGGAAATGGAGGTCAGCCCTGCTTCTCCTCTTCACTGACCCTTTTCTGTCTGAATTAGATTGGAAGGCAGATGTTCCTCCTTGGGTGCTCTGTCCAAGGGTAGTTTGGTGGTACCTTTCAAACAGCAGGATATCACTTCTGACTACATTTCTGTGACTCCTCCTCCTTTCACAGATTCTTATGTTTTAATTTCTGTGCCTGGATTATGTTGGCTGATTCAATCCAAACAGCCTCATGTACCATAATAAATGCATTTGTATGATATTCCAGATATTCATTAGGGGTGTGCTGCTTGAATTAAGTTAGAAATAACATTTAATTTTATACAGTGCATTTGTTAATGCATTCGTACTTGTATGTATATTTGTATAGCTCTATGTTTAGATGTACAAGCCTGAAGTTTATGTTCCCAGCTCTTTAAAGATTAGCACCATGGCAAAGGTGTGAAAATCCAATTTTGGCACTTTCTCTTGCTGTTCTTTCACTCCCTCTTTTTTCTCCCTTCCCAGGGCACCCCTTTTCACTGATACCCTGGATACCTATTTTCTTTTCTATCCTTTTACTTACTACAAGCTCCATTTCCTTTGCAAGCTCAAATTGTTAACTTGCAGTATCAGCTTTCATTTTCTCCTCTTTCTTTACTCTTTGAGGTTTCTTTCTCCTTTAAGTAACTTGTCTGTAAAAGTAACTTATTTGCAAATGCTGTCAATAATCTTTTTCTTTAATCTCTTTTAGGGGATTGATAATTTGCCTGTTGACTTTAGTTACACCATGGATTTTTTTCTTTTTGCTTTAATATAATTTATATATCAGCAGCTAATATTGGTTTCAATTTCTAGGAAGGGATTAACTGACAACAGTAGAAGACTTTCCATCATGGCAATTAGAATAGGTTACCAAATCCCTTTTTTTGCCTCCAAGTAGTGTATTAAGCCAGTAAATAGGAATACAGAAGGGAAAATGGTTCTGGAGATTTTACTGAAACCATGAGATATTATGCAGCTATACCCACTGCAGTAATTTAGATTAAAAATAAAAAATAAAAAGCAGCATTCAGTTGGGATAATCAAGTATATGAGCAAGAGTCTGGGGTTCAAAGCAGCAGCCACCAAAATGCACCCAACCAGTCAGTGGTGGTGGGACTGATCCCTAAATGCCTGCAAAGACTGCAATTAGTTGGTAGCTAGAATCAATGAATCAATTTTAGAGTATGTAACAGATTTGAATAGAGAGATATTCATTAGACAAAAATCAGAGTAATGCTGACTTTTCAATCTTGAACAGTGTTTTCTCTCCATTGTTTCTCTAAAAGTTAGAGAAAGACTTACAGCTAAAACATTTTAGTCCACAAGGGACGTGAACTGGGGGTGATTTATGCAGCAGTGAACCAGACTGATATCATTCAACAGTTCTGAGGCCATTTTGGGAACACAAGCAGATAAATTGAGATTGAGCTTGCTCCAATGAGTTATGATATCAGATTGAATTCATGTTAGAGGGTTCTTTAATGAACACCAAAGTAACTCAAGGAGCTTTATTCCTGACCCTTTCACAACATACAAAAAGGAGAGATGGCAAAATTAGCAGCCTTTTTTTTGTGTCCCGCTTTTTGAATTGCAGTTGTGTGACAATAACCCTTTACTATTAAAAATGTCAGCGTTGTGATGCTTTTCTACCCATACCTTTGTAAGAAGAGCTGATGAGTTCCATAATTCAGTGCTTGTTGCACCCTCTGGGTAGTGTCATTTACTGGATCACTTTTGAGAAGGGAAAATTCTACTGTAACTGCAGTGGATAGTAGGGCAAGGAGTAGATAAGACTACTCAAAAATATTGAAGGGTTAGGAACCATTGTAAAAACCAGAAAATAATTACCTTCACTAGTGCAAATTTCCTTCCATGCTGAAGGAGCTAATAGCCAGGGGGTTAAAATCATCCTGCTTTTGAGTACTTTTGTATTCAGCATCTGCATTTATAGCTAAATGCAGGATAATTGTAATATTGGCAGCATATATAAACTAAGATTAATGCAGTGATTTTAGTCCCCAATATCTCATAGAGTTTTCTGTCTGCTTGAAAAAATGTTGTCCTATAAAAATTCATTTTCCAGCTTTTTCTGTATTGGAGACTTGAAATAAGATAATTAGAAATGCTCAGTACCAGGAAGGCAAAGTAGTTATTCTGTTGAAAGTAGAAAACACTTTTGTGGCAGCATGACTGCAACCCTCACCTCATATTCAGTTCAGGATATGTTTGTGTTATGTGTGTATGTGTCTTGTATCATACATATAGCATGTACCATGTGGACCCTTAGCAGCCTCTATGTCTTAGATGAAGGAAAAAAAGTCAATTTTCATATCTCATTGTTGAAATAAATATGCATATATTTGGTTTATTTGCTTTCTACAGCTTTAAATCAACTCTTTGTTGAAACATTTTGGTAATTTCAGACCTTCATTTAAGTTTGGGGTTTTTTTATGTTGGGACAGCCTTTAATGATTTGGTCAAAATATATTGCAACTTTAGATACTGTTGTGAGCAAATGTGTTCTGAATTCTATGTATAAAGTTTGCAGGCACAGACCTCAGTTTAGGTAATTTATACGATTTTATTGTACTGGCTGCCCAGTACTGATATATAAGCAATTCCTGATGATTTTAAGATCAGGTATAACATAGAATAGCTTAAAACCTGCTGTGAGGGGAAGATTGAGGTAATCTATGAGTGCTGAGGAGTCTCAATCATATTCATTAACCCAGCATGATGTGTAATTTCATCGAGCTCACCAACTCAGAAAGTTTTAGCTAATACTTGAACTGCCAACCTCAGCCAGTAAGTTTGGGTTTTTTATATTCTCTATGGTGCAGTTTTGTTCTAAGGAATGAATAGAAAACTGCAGCATCCCCAACAAGGAATACTTTATGCTGCATTCAGTGTAAAGATTAGATAGCCACAATAATTCTGTATTTTACCATTATTTCTCTGTAATGTGACTCCATATATTTAAAAAAATATTTTAAAACCTTGGTGTGAATTTAAATACCATTTTATTGTGTGGCACAAGAAGTTTCATTAGTTACTATAAAAACCATTTCTTCATTTGCTTTTTGTGTTGATAATGGTTCCCATTTGAAATGCTTCTCCCTCCCACCCCATCTAAAATTGCCCAGAATCACAGGATGGTTGAAGTTGAGTTGGAAGGGATCTCTGGAGGTCATCTGGTGTAACCTCTCTGCTCAAGTAGAGCTGTCTCGAGCAGTTTGCCCAGGATCATGTCTAGATGGTTTCTGAGTGTCTTCAAGAATGGAAACTCCACAATCTCCCATGGTCCCATGCTTGGTTAACAGTAAAAAAGTATTTCCTGAGGTTCAGGCAGAAAAGTTTCAGCTCTCTGTAAAAGTACCTTCCAGCTGAAGTGGTTTTATATGATTTAAAAGAAGTCTCCATGCTCAGTTTCTGTCAACAAAAGGAAACATAGTCTCAGTTTAACTGAAGTATTATTTTAGTTGTCATAAAACACCAGAGGCTAAGGTAGCCCTAGGCATTTAAAGGAATTCTCTAAGGAGAAATATGTAATTATTTTTCTCTGTCTTACATTCTCTGGGTTATGTTGTTTATAGTCCCAGCTACTGTACTGTTTGCTAAAATAATTCTGCTTCATGCAAGTAATTTCTATTAAGGGCACTAAAATAATTCATGACTTTCATTGGCTTTTCATATTTAGGGAAATTAGGGATAGGAATTCTGGTTTGCATGGGCTTGCAGCAAGAAGAAATACTCAGTGGGCAAAGGGTGCCTCTCCACTTGTCCAGGAGTGATCTAAAGGGGATGTTGATAAATAAGAGAGAGGAAATGTATCAGCTGTCTTCTTGGATTGACTGACAAAAGCTCATCTCAGAACTTCCACAGTTGCTGGTTTAAATACTGATTTATACGCGCTTAAAATGATGGTGCCTGTAGCAATGGCAAAAAGATTGCTGTTTGTCCAGCAGTGTGTTCCTCCAGTTTTGAGACTTTGTTCATTCAACAAGCAGTAATAGTAAATAATTAGCATCTCCTTAAAGTATGGAGGGGAGTCATAATAAAGAAATGAAAGAGCAAAAAACCCATATTACCTGCTCTGAATCAACTCAGCACCTCTGGCTTCTTTCTCACTTAAGAACTGCTAATTAAGTCCTCCTATCATTTCCAAATTGTTAATGATATCTAAAATAAGAAGTTTCTCAAATGCAGTTTTGATATGTTATTGTAATTTATTTCTAGAATCAGTTAGTTGCAAGAAAGTTCATCAGTTTGAATTAAAACACTCAAATTCCATATCAGCTTAAGAGTCCAAAATCTGACTTCAATGCTGTCACTGTATATTTCGTTAGCTCCTCATTAGAGAGAACTGTAACTATTTTCTACTATTTAAAGAGTTCATCTTTGTCATAACTTTCCATAATCTTATGTTTTTCTTGTTTTTTTTCAGGGTCAGCCTGGTCCTCAAGTAAGTGCCATCTTATTTTCTTACATAAGTAACAGTTAAATACAAGGCCCACTGAGCTCAGGTTGTCTACAAAGTATTTTACTTTATTTTTTGATCCTACTGTATTAAGATAGAAACTGATAACCATTGCATAATTCTGTAAGAAAAATATTTCCCAAGAGAGAAATATGCCCCCCACATATGGTTAAGTTCCCTCAGCTGTCTGACCAGATGGTGGGGTTAACAACATAATACTGAATAGAGCAAATCTCCTAACTATGGCTTGAAACTTTGCCACCAAACTTTAAAGCAAGATAAAATAACTTAGCAAATGTGTAGCAAATGTAATACTTCAACTGCTTATTAATCACATGCTAATAATGTTGCTATAATCCAGGCAGCCCTCAGTTATTTTAAATATTGCACTGCTAGCTGTTTTGATTAATTAGATACACTGCTTTGAATTAGTTCTGCTTTATTTAAGAATAGTAGAACTTTGTCTTGTGAGCTGTAATTGAAGACGTGGAAATCTAGGGACCTAACTTCAGTTCTAAGGAAGAAATAGACCAGCAGAAAGGAAACATTACATATCGCAAAAATGAAATGTGAATTATTTGAGTGCTATAAAAATATGGAAGAGCAAGGAAATATGAAAAACAAATAAATTACCAAGCCAGTACCAATGCCATACTTAGTGAAATCAGTTGAGAAACTCAGGCTTTTTGTATGCTCCATATGCTTTGTGGGAAGTAAGCTTTGGTCTGTGGAACTGTCTTAGCACAATTTAGTTGCCCAAACCAGGATTTCTATGAGGGTCTTTTATTTTTCAGCATCATAATTGAAAGTTAGAGCTTTACCACCATATTGACTGGCAATTTTTTTAAGATTTTCCTTATGAGACGCAAGCATTTATTTTAGATTTTTTAGTTTCTAAACATCATTTTCTTTTGAAAGACATATTGATTTACAAACCCTTAAACCACTTGGCCTGAATGCACAGTATCCTTGCAGTGCCAGGCTCCATTTAACAGAACTGTGTAAGAAATCCATATGATACTGGAGATGACCACTGCCCATGGCACTTATATTTCACAATAGGCTCTTGATGTATGAACTATACAGAGAGGTATCTTCAGGCTCTGTGCTGATGAAGAGAGAGACTGTAATTCTGTGTGGCACTGTAGCTCTGAACAAGCTCTGTTGAGGACCTGAGGCTGATTCTTGAGCCTGTGGGCTGCCCTCCAGTTGATGTTAACTTGTGCTGCCACCCGTGTCCTTTCCTTCTGGGTTTGGACTCTCACCTCCCACATTTCAGTTGCTTAGAGAGTGTCTCTTGCCTAATGCTTGTAAACAGCTGCTCAGTCTTTGGAGCTCACATCTCTACATGAAATGCCCTGGGATAGCTGTAGGCAAGGAACCACAGGGAGATGGCAGCGTTCAGCACTGTTTCAAGGGCAGAAAGGCAGAGAAATCTCATCAGGGTGTAAGAGAAGTGAGGTGCAAACCAAAGCCCTCTAAAAAGAAAAAGCCCTCTAAAAATGTTCCCCATATTTTGAGAGAGAATTCTTACATATGAAGTTCAGTAATTCCTTCCAGTGGAAATGCTCACCTCTGGGTCATCACCATTGTTCTCAGTAATACGTATCATTATTCTTAATAATGCCTTTTCCTCCTTTTCAGCTGAAGATGCTCTTACTGTGTCAGGAGGATATGTGTGTACTCAGCCATTTCGACTGGCTGAGTCCAGGAATAATTCTTTTGGGAGCACTGGTGGGGAAGACATAAGGGCATGAAACAGAGTCGTGTTCAGCTTTACATTAAGATGCCTAAACTCAGAAGCTTGTGTTGTGTAGGTGTAGACCTAGGAGGTGTCTGAGCCCTCCTGGCAGTGGAGTCAGTGAAGGTTAAATCAATACTCAGTGCACCTAGAAACCTGTTCAGCTCATGGCAGACTCCTTGGGCTCAGTTACATTGTCTGCATTCAGGCATTTGCTGCTGTGTGAATTGATCCAGTGTCTCTGGCCTCAGCCACTGGCTGTTTTATGGACGGGCTGGAGTCTGTGCTGGGCTGTGGTTGTAGCTGTCAGTCACAGGCAGCTGTCTTGGATACCTAGGCAATCTCTCACATGACACTAGCTGTGCACATTTGTACCTCCTAATTCCAGATTCTGACTGTAGGCAGCTACTGAACCAGATAACCCTGCTGCTGAATTGCTTTCTAGCCAGTGTTGACATCTGCGAGTCTCGGGCAATTACTGGCAGGCTGTAGATTTAGAAGTTTATCCCCTTAAATTGAAACTCAGATCCAGATAACTTGGTGAAACAGCATTTTTAAAATATTAAAAGTGGAGTTTTTTAAATATTGGAAGCTGTTGTTGAAAATCTCGAGACTTTTAAAAATCAAAAGTATCCACAGAAAACAGAATTCATTCCCATACGGATAAAATAAATCAAAACCCCTTGGCATGTCATTAAGTAATGCAGAAATTCCAGTCTATTATGATTATCTGCAATTTCCCTGGTCTTAACTGCGTTCCTGAGAAACTCAAAATTTAAAGTATTGATCAGTTCGGTTACTAAGTAAAGTCTTCATGGCTTCAAAGAACAAAATTGTTATGCTGATTGGAGAAGCACTTTGGAAGTTTCTGGTGTCCTAGCCATGCAAGTCTATGCTAAGGTCAGGGATAAATTCTAATCATTTCTATACTCACTGTTTTATTAACCCCTATTCTTTTTTACAATGGTTTTATAAAGTACACTCCATATTCTCCTAACATGCACCTAATTATTGGGCACATCCTCCTATCATTTTAATTTTTTTACTGCTTATTTTCTTCAAGATAAAGATAATTTTTCAAAATATAATTTTGCTTCACATTTTCCCATTTTAAGTAACAACAAGCTTTATTACAAGTTACAGGCAGCTTTTTTTTTTCCTTCCAGAAAAAGCTTATGGTTTTGTTGCATCTCTGAAAAGTAAAGACTATGATAAAAAACTAAAGAATTCCTAGCCTAATCTGTAAAAAAAAAAAGTCTCTTCTTATGATTTTCTGTTTTCTGTTAAAAAGAAAGCTACTTTAAATACCATGTAAGCTGTGTTTTTCTTTAGAAGAGCAAGTAATAAAATCTTTAATATTTTTGCTGAAATTAAATTCTGACTCTTGAGTGACCCAAAAAAACTCTGCCTTTTCTTATCTGGAATATAAATATGTATTCAGATTAGCTTGAACCATAAAGGGTTCTTCTCACAGTAAATCTACACAACCAAATTCTGCTCATACTTTCTCTTTTTTAAATAATAGAAGTATTCCTGCTTGTCAGAGAACAAAGTTTAGCTTCTAGTCTAATGTTAATTCTGTAAGACATGTGCTATCTGGGTAAAGAGAGAAGGCTGGCTATTTTAAACTTTTTGTTGTTGTTTAGAGGTAAGATTCATGTAAATACTAGAAGCCATGCTTTAAATATCGTGGTGAAGGAAGACAAAACAATCCTTTAAAAAAATTTTGCTGAACTAAAACTATTAAAGACTGTAAGTGTGGGGTAGGGTGGTGTTTTGGTTGACTTGGTCTCAGCCAGCCAACTGTTTCCTTCTTTGGGGCAGTATCCTCTCCCTGGCCCATCTCTAGCCCAACATACTTTGTCTCTCATGTCAGCACACATGAGCACTCTCTGTGTGGGACTTTGACACACAGCAGCCTCACAGATGCTTCTCCTTTCTCTTTGGCAGCTGTCCAAGTCTGCATTAAAAATGGACAAAGTGTTAAAGATTGATACTTGTTTTCATGAGATTCTTGTTTTCCTTTGTGTGGCACGTCCATGGACGTGATGTAGTAACAGCCTGAAATTTCCCAGTGCCTGGTACATGATAAAGGTTTCCATAGCAATTCCAGTGACAAATGTATGTGTGTCTTGTTTTTCACCATCAAGCATCAGGGTATGTGACTGCAGTATTTTTAATTTCTGATGACAGAGATTCTGATTCATGGTTAAACTGGCTGTTACTGGCTTGTGCTGTCAACAGTGTTGGTGGGAACCATTTTAACTTTTAGTTTTCTGGGTTTTGTCAAGGGCAGAGAATCACAGCAGGCCACAGACCCTAGTTTTGAGTGGATTTGGAAGGCAGCAGTCTAGGGAAGATATTTATCTCTTCCTAGAGAGCACTGTGATGGTAAGAACACTCCTAGATCTTAGAAAAGAGTATCTGACAGTAGGAAGGATGGGAAAGGGGGTGTATAAACAAAATGTGTTTTAATTCCTGTTGAGCTGCCCTTTCAGTTTTGGTAGGTTTGGATAGCCATCTTCATTCCACAACCTGTCCAATATTGCTCTCAGTGCTTTCCATTCAGTAGTGGGGCAGTTGATAACATCAAGTGATCATGTGTGTTTTTATGGCTTTTTAAGCTATGGGCAAGGTACATAATGGCCTATTGACCATTGCTGTAGAGTGGCCTCTGCCTGTCAGATTGCTAGAGTTGGACATGTTTATTTTGTTCTGATCACCATAAATTGAGGTGTAAACTCCACATTCCTTTTTTTCTAGCAGTTTCCTCTCATGAATGTCTCAAGACTCTTTACTTACATGGAGAGTAGGGGAAGGAGGCAAGAAATACACTTATGAAATATAAAATCAGCCAAAGACTGAAAAATAGTTCACTTTCAGGTACACAGTGCAGAGAAGTTACTGCTCCTGGGAGAATCCCAGGTGAAACATGCTGTTTCACCAACAGGCCATCAGCTGTTCTCACTGTGGAGAATGATCTTGTGGGGTATTTCCTAGAAACTCATACCCTGTGCTCCTTTTTAAACCTCTGATCCAGCTGAAGAATTTTATGATTCAGTTTGATTATACAAATGCTGATCTGCTTTTGAGTTACAAGTTGCAGGTCAGATTTTGCTGTCAAACTTAAAGAATTAGTTTATTAATATTAAGTAGCTTGTAAAAGTCTTTTTCTTACTTTTTTTGTACAAATAATAAAGATAAATCTTTGATGCCTTTCCTGCTAATAACAATTTACTGTAAA